GAAACATCCATTTTACTCTCTAAAATATGCTAGTAGTATTTTACATCCAAAATGATCCATCTTATTGTCAGAAGCTGAAAGGTGGAAGTCACGAGCATGACTATTGTAAAACACACTTACAGAACTTGAGCGCAGTAAGCAATTTGTGAACATGGTGGAGTCTGCTCAGATAAAAATTCTGCAGGGGTAACAGCCTGAAAGAGGAGGAAGGATGTGTGGGAGTGCAACAAGGGAGAGACAAAAGAATATGGGAAGTTACACAAGAGTGAAGAAGATAGATCGCCATATTCGCAAGTCTTTCTACTGCAGTGTTGCAAGGGAGAGCACCGGGTGCTTGCCTGATAGGAATCTGTGGCTAACAGTTTAACAGTTGGAGCACTTACTCTCACCACTACTCTGTGGCTGTGCAGTACTATAATAATACACACAATAGGCCTGTGTTTTGTTTCCACAAAGCATCTTTTTTGGCACTGACACTCTGTTTTGTTCTGAACAGCACTGTGCTATTTTTCTATTTCTCTGTTGCTGTAACTGCAGTTTGCTGCATTGTTTGATCAGTGGAGGAACACATGCACTTTCACCTTATAGTCCAAGAAAATTTAAGGGTTATTTTTCTCTACAGAGCAGAATTCTTCCCAGCCACAGTGACTTTAGCAGACTTGACATATTCGTGTGCATCGTTGTCCTGAGTGCAGACAACAGAGTACTCTCCCTCATCAGCCATCTGACACTCTTCTATAATAACCTCTGCCCTTTTCCCCTCATGCATGAAGATGTAGCGCCCGCTTGCTGTGATATCACACCCATCCTTCAGCCAGTGAATGTGCACGTCCTTGGAGCTCATCTCACACTCCAGGCGGGCTGTGCTTCTCTCATGCACACAGACATTCTGGTAAACTTGATGGGAATGCCTATATAGAATTAAAACAGAGGAAGGATGAAAATAAGAGAGGCACTTTAGCGCTAATATGGACTTTATTAGCATACTACACTTACAAAGTTTTAGTAATTTTAGAAGTAGAAGCATAGACACTGATGATTACAAGGTGAAAGTATGAACAGAATTTAAATGCTCTTGCACTTATTAGGCTTGTTCTTTATATTCAGCCCCAGAAAAAAAAAAAAAAAGATAGAGCGTACTCATATTCATGAATAACTATAATTAACACAACTTCAATTGCTATGCTTCTCTTGGTGCAAACCCAGAGGACAGCCACGTGTCCTTGTAAAGATATTTACATGCCCCAACTTGCACCTTGGGCAAGTAAATGTCTTGTTAGGCAGAGCTGTAATTAATGAGCTTGTTGTGAGCAGGGATTTGGTTGGATTACTTTCAACTGAGCACTAGGAGGGAGGATTTATTGCACTCCCCATACATCTTCATTTGAAAAACAGGGAAGATGATGTTGTTTTGCATAGCTACGAAGGAGCGAAGCTTCTAATCTCAGGGGAGGAAAACAAGGCAGTGGCAGCTCATATCTCAACTGTGAAGGTTTGTTTCCCTAGAAATATTAGCTCCAACAAGACAGCTCTGTTGGGAAAAACAAAACAACAAAAACAAGACAAACTAGTTTTTTTTTTGTGTTGGCAAATAAAAAGCAGCAAGGTGGCAGTGAGGTCTCCAGTGCTGATTGTTTAGTTTCCAGTGTCAGTGGCTTTCATATCCTTAATCTTTAAGGTGTAGGTCAGACCATCCTCATACAGAGAGACATCAGACTTTTCATCTCTTTCCCTCCCCTTTTCCTTTACCTGCAAAAACAAAAAACACTTCTGGGAAAACTATTTCCACATTATGTTCCAGTGTTTTATATTTCCTCAAACAATGGCAGTATACTGTATCTGTGGGTTCCTTTTATTGGAGTAACTTAGATGTTAAGAAATTCTTTAAAAAGCATTTTCAGTCTCATCCTATATGCGATATCATATGATAGTGTAAAAGTGTAATTAAATCCTATGATTCTCTTCCTGAACTACACACTAGCTACACTAACCTTCCAGATTAGGGGTCGATCTGTTTTCTTGGAAAGATGGACCTCGAACACAGCAGTCTGTCGCTCATTTACTCTTTTTTTGGCTTGAAGTCAAACACGACTTTAAGCAGTTCATTTGAATGAGATAAAGCAGAAGACAAGAAGGGTTTTTATTGATCAGTCAAGTAAACATATCCAAGGATTCCAAGCCAATGACATGTGGGTTTTCGAGTAATATGAACTAAGTGAGAAAGTCTGATCTCTGGGTCAAATAAATACTGACACTGAATGGAGGGGATAAAATATGACATGGTGTTAAGTAATGACAAATGTAAAGAAAGCATGTAAAAAGGAGTATGTAAATGGGGACAGTAAATACAATAAAATCTGTATTATGAGCAGTGAGAAGGAGTCCCGAGTTCCACTCTGCACATGCCGAAAGTCTCTTGTCTCCAACCTGCAGAGTGTAGGTGCCCATGTCACTCAGGTGCACGCAATAGAAATGCATAGCATGTGCTTAGTTCCCATCAGTTTCACTTCATATTTCCCATGAGAGTACTGGACCCACTGCAGCTCTGCGCCCTGAATTGCAAGCACAACGCTGAGATGAGGGGAGAAATCGCAAGTGGTTTATGTCATGGTAACATTCATAAATAAGAAGACTTTGACACTGAACCAGAAAACTGATGTGCTTTACCAAAAACCACTGATCCTGATGTTTGGATCCTTCAGTTCCAAGAACACGATGTCAACTTTGGCAGTGATGTCTTCCAGGGGCTTCAAGACACGCACCATCTTGTAAAACATATCAAATGTAGAAATACTTAAATAATGACATTTTGAATTATTTCCCATCTTCACATCAGCTGACTTTTGCTTTACTAACTTAACTTTGTCGCCAAGTTGTGTAAACTTTTCTCAGTTCTCCCTTGCTCTATTTTAAGCTGTTTTTTAAAAAATATCATATCCCAAACCTGTTCATCTTTATTTGATCCTGTGTCATGTGTGCAAGCTCTCTGCAGCACAGGTCTACCTCCACCTCCACTTTCTTCTTCATCTCCTTGAACTTCTTGAGAATGCCTCTGATGTTGCTGAAGCCATACTTGGCACAGATCCCCCCCAGTCCTTCTTGTCAGCTCCAGCCAGGATCTTTAACATCTCCTCCTCTGTAGGTGGCTTCTTCTTCTCTTCTCCATACCTCTGCAAAAGAAGAAATATCTTACACAGGAAGCAGTTGTACAGGTATATACTATGCTTGTTTGCATGCATGACATAGAATAGGAATATGTGCGATAGTAGCTGAAAAGAATCTTCCTCAGTCCCACCAGCAACTCTTTAGATCTTGTCCTGTGGGTATTTCTGGATACATGCAAAAACATATATCTGGCAATTGATCAGAGAGTGCTCCATCACACCTTGACAGGTTCTAGGAGTGTCACAGCTAGTATTAGACAACATGCGTGTTCCCCTGCTGCTTCTCCAGCATCTTTTTGAAGTCCATTGATGGTTCTGGAAACAAAGAGAAAGCAACTTTCACCTGTGGCACTAGGAGAAAACTGGAGGCAAACTGTGCTGATGGCTTCCAAACAACCCATGCTGTACGATATGGCTGGCTTACTTTCTGTAACACTGAGTGATATGGAGAAGGCAGCATCTCTGTGCTTGTTGGAGGCAGTGCACTTGTAGACATCGGCATCCTCCAAGGTCAGATTTTTGATCTAATTTGGAGAGAAGGTATTAGACATTAGGTAAATGACTAATGAAGGAAAAAGCAACGTGTCTAGTTACAGTGAGACGTTTCAAACTGTCACACTGTCATTCAGGTCATTTTTATCCCACTGCAGTACTCATTTTAAGCAGTAGAAGGCAGTGGCATGATAGGAATAACTCCTCAACACACAGTATTGGAACTTAACAGTCATCCCTTACCAGAGAAACAGATGGCAAGGGGAGATGCATATGTCAGCACCCACAAGTTAATTGCTTTATAATAGCTATTTAAGCTTCAGTTAAGCTCCCCGGCTGGTACAGAGAAAGCACTAAATCCACTGTGGAGTGGTTATAGATAAAAGGTTCAGTGAGAGTTTTTTCCCCCCGTCCTATCTACTTTTCCTCATGATGCATGGTGTGTCATCTCACTTGACAGCACCAAAACGGGGAGCTGTTCAGCTTAATGATAGGCTGTACAGAGATACCACGCCCAGAAAGAGTATTTCACCTTTTAAAGCAACACATTTTTACTAGATACCCTAAACCCTGAATTCACACTTCCAGATAATGATGCTGAAATCACAGTCTTAACTTAAAAAAAATAATGGCATGATTTATTTGTCAATAGAGTAACATTCTTCTCTGCGATCTTCCTCTTTTCCTCCTGCCTGGTAACATCCTGGTCAAATATATCACAATCCCTCCTCCGCTCATGTCCAAACCATCTCAGACACACTTCTCTAACTTTGTCTCCAAACCATTCAGCCTGAGCTGAACCTCTGATGTATTCATTTCTAATCTTGTCCATCCTAGTCACTCTTAATGAAAATCTTAACATCTTTACCTCTGCGACCTCCAGATCTGCCTCCGGTCCGTTTTTCATACATCATGGCAGGTCTAACTAGTATTTTGTAGATCAAATTTCAATTAGGCCAAGGATAAGTCATGTAGTTTTACAGTGTCAAACCTTCAGTATATGCTGTTTGTCGATGTTGTCATGGGAAGATTTTGTTGCCACAGACAGTGGGAACCCACTAGCTCGCTCCCAGCTCACACTGGGCTGTGGATTCCCAGTCACATTTGCCTTGAATGCAGCATTGTCACCTATGAATGACAAAAAGACAGATCAGGTTAAGATTTATATTTTGCTATAACAGTTGCCATAACATTAAATGATTTAGGATCATCATTTTTTGCTTTCCTTTTGAGACAAGTAGCTGTAGGGTCATTCCATGACTGATAATAGCCTGGCTACTCTGCAGTATTCTGCATATTGTGATGGGCGAGCTTCTGCAGCTCTCTTAATCTATAATTTACAGGTAGAGGTAGAGTGAATCAGATTAAAACACGTAGATTTTATGCTAAAAAAGGCACTAGTATTCAGCATAAGCAGCAAATGCTTTTTCAATAGAGGTGATGAGAACTATAAAGTCTTTATCACAGTATTTCTGTCCTTGGTGAGGTCTTTGTTAGGACTTTTATCAGATGCAGCCCACAGTACCTTCGCTCAGTAAGAAAAAATGTTTACCTAAAGTTTTCACATCACATGAAACTTTTGTTTCCCAGTAGAGTTTTGTTTGTGTCATCCAGTGTTTCCAGGCAAATCATGGGCAAGTGTCTAAATTTGGCTGCTGCACGCTTTTCTTATAGTCTCAAGGGCACTTGTTTGCAATATAATGTGAGGAGAGATTCTGCAAGATGCAAAGGGCATTTTGTAAAATTTCAAGCTGCTGTGGAATGAAAAGAATGGTTCACCTCACCCTCTTGGGGAGTGATGGGGCGTAGCTTCACTTCAAAATCTGGGACAGACTCTCCCTCTGGGATTTGGGGGGATTTTTGTACCTGGTTGAAGGACTCCACCACAGCGGAGGTCTTACATTGAACCCCAGAGTGCTCTAAAGGTGAGTCAAGTACATCCACAGTAAGACTATCAGAATATTGTACAAACAGGCAACCTAAGTGCACAATTGTTTCTTTTTCCTTTTTTTAGAAAGGAGAAGAGAAAAAAGAACTGAGGCCTGACTAAGTGCTGAGAAGTCTGCAGTAGGTAATAAACTTTATTTTTGCGCTCTACATTAGGGGATTTGACATGGTTGTTGAAGCTAATCATTGATGTTAGTTAATTATGCTGCTTTTGCTTATAGCAAAGACAGCTCTTTTAGATAGTCCTTCCTTGCCTGTCTCATAATACCAAAGATTTAGCGCTAAGAATGCCAGAATGAAGGAGGATCTCCTTGCATGCAAGATCCCTACCCTCTGCGCTCCTTGCCAAGCCCTGAGCCACCTTAGGATACTTGGTGGAGCTCATGGAGGAGGTGAAGGTGGACGAGCTGCAGGAAGAGTTCATCTGCCTCTCTCACATGTGCTGTTCTGTGTGCTCTGCTTTGACCCCGGAGGTCTGGAGGAGCTCTGATAGTATGATGATAGTGATGTAAAGGTGAGGTGAACTGCACCTGGCTTTGAGTAGACACCAATAGAGATGTGAAAGTATAGTTTTGCAAATGGCAGATATTGGGCTCCCACTTCCGTGGGGTTAGGTGCAACATCATTTAACTCTAGTGGATAAGAGGGGACAAAGGCACATCCTTTCCAACTGATACAGTGATACAGCTAATATCCTATATTGTGACTTAATAGGACAAGCGGAAGAACCGCTAGCCCTGTGCTCATGCTTATATACCTGAATGTGTTTAGGTCTATATAAAAGTGTGCCGGTTGCATTTAACACACTCTTCCTGTGGTGATTGGGTGTGTGTTCCCAAAAGCATGCAAGATTGTAACTCACTTCCCTTCCTCTGCTCATTCCCTGTCCTTTTCTTGCTTTGTCATCCCCCTTTCAGCAGCGACTACAATAGGCCTTTGCCTTTTCCAGTCTCACACCAAGATCCAATTAAAAGGTAATCCACACACCTGCTGTGTGAGATAAAGCATTGTGTTTGTATCACTGATGAACTGTGCTCCTTCTTTCTTACTTTGAATTTGGATTTCTCCCTCATGCCCAGCCCTAATTTCTTTTCACATGTGTAGCTGTGTATTTACTTCTTTGTGTGGACATAATGAATACACACTATGAGAAGCTGAAGGAACAATACTGGATATATAAAACCTCCGTGAAAGTATGAGCAAATGTCAAGCTCCGTATACTGTTACCTACTAGATAGGATTTTTTTTAACAAAAGAAAAGAACCGAACATGCATTTCACTACACGTGAGCATGTTTACATATGAGCTAGTGTACAAATCCAACCTTTTTTCCTCACCCTGGGGTTTTGCATGTAAATTTGACTTTAAAAGCCAATGAAATGAGCAATTAACCTCAACATGAGTGATAAAAAATGTAAATCCAAGAAGTTTATGTAAGTTTTGCCTCCTGCAGCAAATAACTACACATTGAGAGCTAATTAGCGCTGTAAGCTTTGATACCTGCCATAGAGAGTCGTTTTTAAGCAGCCCCAGCAAACTCTTTGATGGTATAACTCTACAGTCTAACCGAGTAGCGAGTGACTGCAAGCTACAAAGTGCTGAACAGGTTGCTGTCTCACTGCAAGTGGAACACAAGAACGTATTTTCTCCCTGCCTACTTCTCTGCCTCTTTGTTCAGTGTCCTTGATCTCTCTCTCTCTCTCAGCAGCCAGCATAGCAAATTGCAAAAGGATTTTTATTCCCCCCTTGGCTCGATTATTTCAGAAAAAAAACAAGACACACAGCCAACCAAACTTACTTGTTAAAAAGCTTTTAGTTTTTCATAGATTTAGTCTGTGCCCAAGGTTTCTGGTTATACTGCTTCCAGCCCAAATGTCTCCTCTTATGATGTTCTTAATCCACACAATGCTCCACGCTCTGTGGGATCCTGCCAGTTTGGTCTCCACATTTTTCTCGAGTCTTTTTTGGTGAATGAGCCATGATAGGGCACTCAGCTTGAACCCCTGCTGTGTCCTGTCTCTGGACAAATAAGGCTGTGATCTGTTCTGGGTTATGATTGCTGAGGCTACACTCAGCTGGGCCATAATGCTAATATTTCCCACAGGTCACTTTGTTTGATGGTACTCTGTGGGCTATTGCAGGCATTAATGTTCTCCAAAGAGCTTGTGCTGACAGAGAGTTTCTAGCAGCCTCCATTTCTGATGAACATTTTCCTTTCTGCTTGGGTGTCAAAGGTCTCAGTATATCATTACAAGTGGAAAATGTATGTATATCTAGCAATGATACATCCATTAACCAATACATTATCATCCTCTGCTCTCAGACCTTGCGTGTCCTTGTGTGCTCTTCAGGATGTTAAAAAGCTTGGTTATACCATGTGCCGAGAGCTGCAGTGTGTCTATCACTCCAACACAGGATAAACGGCTAAACTATAGACTGTAATAATATAATACAATATAAAATAATATAATGAAGAGAAATGGTACAGCACCCCCATCCCCCCTTCTTTTTTCCAACTGGGGCAATGCCTGCGGCATTTAACAGAGGAAAAAGAAGAAGTCTGTATGAATTCCACTGAGGTCACACCCTTGATGTTTTTCTGCAAATTTGCAAAAAGACAGAAAATCACACTTTACAGTTTTCAAGAAGATAACGTATGGGTAAAAAAATTTATTTGTCGATTCCAGTATGGCAGATAAGGAAAACTACTGATAGAAATAATAATATCTGAACACATCATTACATTAATAAAAACTTTAAAATGTCATATGCATGTTTTTTCTTTTTTCCCTTTATTTTTACTTTTTCCTCTTCATTGTATGTCCTGTTCTTCTCTGTCTAGTTCCTAAAAAACAGATACTGAGCAAAGGCCCATTTACAGCTCATTGATTTTACCAGGTACCACTTTTGTCTTCAGAACGAAATCATTCTTTGCAGCATAGATTCAAAAAGTTGCTAAAATTTTAGTCTATAACGAGATGCTAGCACCTCACAGTTGATGCAGATTTTTCTGTTTCACATCAATGATGCAAACTGTCCCTTTCAACCAAATCCCAAACATGCTCTATTGAACTGAGATGTGGTTACTGTGGAGGCCATCTGAGTAAAGCGAACTTACTGTCATGCTCAGAGAAGCAGTTTGAGTTTGATTTGATTTTTGTGGAATGGTGCGTTCAGAGACAGAGACCAGTCAGTCACTTGAAAGTTTCTCTTTTTGGAGGAGTTAAAGTTCAGCAGGTCATCTTGATCATGTCTACATCGCTAAATGCATTTAGTTGCTACCATATAATTAGCTATTGTGGATACACTGTGTTTTTGGGACATTTTTTACATTTTCATGCTAATTCTGCTATTGCTATAAAGGATCTGAAAAAAAAAATCACTGCTGATGATTACTTAATTAAAAAGTAGTTTAGAAAGTAGCACATGAAAAAGTGAGGGGATTGCACAATGAGATGAGAGTAACTCAAACGAGAAAAAAAAAGCAAATGTTATGTAAATATTGCTACAAAAGTTAAAGAAAGTTGGAAGAAAATTAGAAGTCCAGAAAGCAGTGGGAGTCTGGAGAGTCTAACAGAGACGAGAATATTTAAATATCCAAACCAGTCCAAAAGGCAGCAGGTGGGCACAGATAGCGTTGGTGCAGTGTGAGTTCAGGGTAAAAAAGAACTCGTCTGTTATGAAAACAGAAGCGCTTTAAAGGAGCACTGGTGGGAAGGCATTGGTGAAAAAACAGAGCGATTTCAGCTAAATGATCCAGTCTTGATGAAGATGAGATGATGAGATGATTCTGATGACTGAAAGATGATGACTAAGTTAACTGAGAAAATGTTCTTTAGTTGCAGTCCTACTCATATTGGCTGAAAGTTGAAGAGTGAGTTTAAAAAAAAACAAGAATGGTGGTATGAGAAATAAGGTGAGAAAGTTTGCTGTCGAGATGATCTTACTTGTGTAAAACTGGCGGCCTCCTCCTGCTCATCTGTTTCAGTGATCTTTTATTATTGAATGGATTTGCATTGATTGCTCTACACAACAAGACCTTGATTTCACATCTATATTGATTCTACACTACATCCGTACCTATGGCCAGTTTAGATTCTGTAATTAAACTATGAAAGGTAGTTGGAGGAAACCACATAGGTGCAGGGAGAGCATGTAAACTCAGTAAACTCCACACAGAAAGACGCCAGCTAACGAGGGGATTTGAACTCAGATCACCTCTGCTGTGAGACAACAGTAACAACCATGGCACCATGTAGTGGTCATGCATCAGTGCATCAATTCATCCACCCAGTTTTGCATTCCTAGTGATGCCCCCCACCCCCCAACTTCTTTTTTGCTTAATTTATCAGAAGCACAAGATCCTTAAAGTCCACCTGATTTTCGTTGGATTCCCTCTAAGGATGCTCAGTGCTTTTTATCCTGCCTGGCTAATTTCTTTTTTTCGTCCTATGTTTTTGCTTTTTGAAGGCATCTCCCTTTTGTTTTCACTTCCTTTGCCTCTTATGAAATAAATCCAGGGAGGTGGACTGGTCTGAGTGGTCGGCAGAGTAGATCTTCCTCTCATCTCTAGAGACGGGGCCCGCTGAGACCTCAGACATCTGCTTCACTGATGATAGTTACTGACTTCAATTTTCTGAGAATGAATCTTTAGAGATTTTGTCTTCCTGCTAGATAGGAAAAAAACAGTAAAAAGTGCTTCTTGTAAAACTGCTAAAAACAAAACATGACCTCAGGAAGAACACACTGAGAATATGAGACCATTCTTATTTAATTGTAAAATTTAATATTGTTGCAAGACCAACACTTTAGATTTCTTATGTTATGACTAAACTAAATAAGCTACAGATAATCATTTATGTCCAAAATATATTCTTTTTTTTACATTTCTGAGGAAGGTATAAACTCAAGCCACTTTCAAACTTATGACAGTTCTTCCTCTCTAACTGGCAGATGATCAGTGTGTCGAGGTTTGCAGAAATAGCACCCAAACACAGGACTCACAGACAGGCAAGAACAAACTAAAACCAACCTTTATTTGGCAGGAAACCAAATTACATAACACAAAGTCTGCAAATAGAAGCATAAACCACACTGTGGCTGAAGAGGAAACTGAAACTACATGTACACGAGATGTAATTTAGGATCACAAACCATAATCCCCTGGAAACACCTGGAGTAAAAAGACACAGCTGAAGTTTACTTAGAAAATGACAGGAAGGAAGTAAAAATAGACACGAGACACAAAAGACCAGCAGATATCAAAATAAAACAGGAAGTAAGACACAATTAAACAAGGGAATCACTAACTGAAAGGAAACTAACTGAAAACAAACTCCACAAAATCTTCAGTAACCAAAAACTAACAAGAACTGAAGACTCAACATACAAAGCAATATAGAGATCAACTTAATATAGATCAAC